GTCATCCCAGCCCAGTTCACACCCAAGATTATGCAGACAATTCGTTGAGTTTGGATGCAGTTCACGAGGATGGGGACAAGTTTGGTCAGTGTTTGTCCTGTTGCAAGTCCCACTCTTCTAATTCATGTAAATTTCATAATTCTAAATGCTTCAAATGTCGTGATATTGGACAAGTTCAGTCAGTTTGTAATGCTAATGTTCATCTTACTGCAATTAATATTAAGTCTTGTAATTCTGATTCTACTGAGTCGAGTATTCATGATGATCATTTATCTTTATCAACGATTTCAAAAGACAGTGCAGAGTCATATGGCAGTTCAGAGTTAAATGAAATCCAGAATTCTTGTGAGACAACATTTCCTAATCAACCGATTTATCAGAATTCTCATGCTATTGTACCAAGTATGACTTTTCCTAATGATTCACATATTTCTAATGAAATTACTTGCAATTCTGAGGAAAGTATGTTAAATGAACCTAATCATGATCGAAAACCTGATGTGGTTTGGATAGATGCTGATTTTTCTAACGATCCTACGCTCTGCAATGACAGTCCTGATGAATTTCATGAGAATATTTCAGAAGAATCAAATCCTGATGTCATATCATATATTACCTATCCTCATAATGTATTTGATCTTCGTGAAAAACCTGCCCAATGCGAAGCACGAGTACTAAGTGACCTCGAGTTTTATTATATTTCGGATGATTTCATATCAACTGCTGTTTACTCTTATCACAAAAACAGTTCTAATGTTTACTCTAAACAATGTAAGAAATATGTTTTAAATGAAGCCACATTATTCATAACTTGGGGATATAAAGATCCAACATTATTTCGTGGGGGGGGGATAGTGTTGAAAAATCTATGGTTCGAATTCTAGATATTAATGATTTCATTACAAAACCGACATGCTGGTTGTATACAATTCCAGGTGAGTCTGTTCCGATTTCGTTTGTTAATTCCAATACTAATGAGCACTTTCTAGATACTACAAAGTTTTTATCGTATACAATGTCGGACAGACTCAGGATGAACTTAACAAGAAGACGTACAACCGATTACAAACACTTATACTTCTATTTAAGCTGTGGCGGATGTGGTGTTTGAATTAACTAATGATTCTTTTGTACTTGTTGAATGCTCGATTTCGAATTCTAAATACAGTACATTCGTTGTGCCTGTGTCTTCTTAATTCAATTGCGTTAATCCTGGAATTCCTAATTCATACTATAATTAGAATACTATATAAATACAGGCCGATTTCCCTAAAGTGTAATAGCATACTGGAAAAATTTTGGGGAGTTTGAAGTTTGAGGTTTTGGTGATATTTCCCCAAAAATTTTCTAGAGTGGCTTCCCCAAAATGAGTCAGATTTCTCCCGAAATTGAGAGATTGGGGAAAGATGGTGGAGAAGATTTATAGTTCAGGTAGATGATTTTGATAAAGTTTATGCTGATGATGTCGTTCAGAAGAACGACGAAAGTTCCACGACCAAACAATCCAGCTCAGAGAACAAGACTTTATGAAAATTAATTCTGAAAGGTTCTACATACTGATTATGAATAGTTTTCACAATAATCCCAATATGATAGTGAAACTTATCAAATAGATTGAATTATCTATCTGAATCACTTCATCACAGTTACTTTCATAAATAGGTCTATATTAAAACATCATTATTGCAAAATCAACTGCTAAGTAACTTAAATACATTCTAGTTTAAGACTTCTTGCAGAATTCGGAACATTAAGCATCTGTAGGATGTTTCTGTATGCAGTAATCGATTTGGAAGTAATCACTTAGGATTTATCATTAATGACAAGGTGTTTTATAGTTTGAATTATTGTATCTGGTTAGAATCTTTATAGTGAGTTAGTTTCCAACAAGATGGGGTCGCTAACCCTAAGCCTAACCCTCCTCTTTTATCCAGGCTTGAGAGCAGTAGTAGCACTAGAGGGGCTCCAGGTGGAGTTGGATGACAACACCATGTGTAAAACAAATCTGGTACTCCATAATATAAGTAAACTGATAGGTCCTGGATTAGAACCGCATGAGTGACATAGTTGATGCCCACTGCTGAGGTGCCTGAATAATAGAACGAAACGACCATCCAGTACTTTCAGGTTTACCATGGTGGTTTAGCTTTACTTGATTGATGAGTTCAACTATTATAATTATTATGATTTCTACAAATCCCCTTTCTGATAATAAGCATATTCCTTTAGAATAATAAAATTCAAATGATTTGTATTTCAGCACAAGAGTAAATTCTGTTGAAATTAAGAACCTGAATTTCGTTTCATAAACATCACTCGACAACGACAACGTCTAGTAGTCATGAGATCGGGCGTGAGACTGATAGGTCCTGGGTTTGAATCTCGCGAGGCGGGATTGTGGATACACACTGATGAGTTCTATAAAAGGATGAAATAGTCGGCAAATGCTTCTATGTTTTCCATGGTGATCCAGCTTTAGCTGAATCATGATCTCAACTGTTGAAAAACAAATTATTTGTAATAGGTTATCAATATTTACTTCTAGCAATTAACTACTTTGAGATAGTAATATAAACTCTCCATGCTGCATTTCATATTTGCAAATATTCAAGGACTTCTTAAGATAGTGTTTGTGTCATTAAGTATGGTTCTAATTCAAGTAACAACATTCATTTCATGTCGGTTAGACATAAATTAGAAATTATCAGTGAAGTCTCTTTACAAACCATTTTACCGAGTACATCAGTACTGAAATAAAGTTTTCACATAGGATTAAAAAAACACTCCTCCTGGTTTGTGATCGCAGTCAGTAATAATAATATATATTGTAGTTTTACGAAAATAAGGTTATATGGATTAAGAGAACAAATCAGATCTCAAAGGATAGGACATACATTAACGAAAGCAATCAACTGTATTACAAGGCTGGCCTTCACTTGGAATGCTCAGCGCAAAAGTAGGAAAGGAAAACCAAAGAACACATTACACCGAGAAATGGAGGCAGACATGAGAAGAATGAACAACAATTGGATAGAACTAGAAAGGGAGGCCAAGGACAGAGTGAGTTTGAGAATGCTAGTCGATGGCCTATGCTCCTCTGAAAGTAACAGGTGTAAGTAAATAAGTAAGTGTTGATGAATCTATTCTTGGATTTGGAAAGTCAACAAAGACTGTCTAATTTAATCTTACATAACAACATTAAGATTACTAAATGTATCTGGTAAACATAAATATCAACATCAAGATTGAACTTGATAATTCTAAATAAGTTGACCATTAGGTCGAGAGTTATTAATAAATATCTTTTGTTATATTCCAATGAGTAAGAAAATTATATTTTTGACGTTTCGTAACTGAATGTAAGCTACTTCTTCAAAGTAGAAAAGAAATACAAGTTTAAATAGTACAAAGGAAAGAAAGGAGACCATTTAAACTTATGTTAAATGAATGTTGGATCTGACGACATTCATGCAAGCATGCTATGCACGATACTCTTCTGTTGAGATTGGACACGCAGTAAAAGAAGAAGAATTTCATTATCCAACAACATTTCTTTCAAAGCCTTAATGCTAAAGAGTGCCGAATTAACCTGTGAGACAGAATCCTACCGGTTCTGCTTCAATTCAAAATTTGCAAAGTACGTTTTAAAAGGATGTACAGGGTCTCTACAATTCCTAACGATGAGGTGGATAATTCAGGTGATATTAGGACTACCATACCTGAAGTATGATCAAATACAGCTATTTGAAGACTCTAACATTCCATTTTCCGTAATATTCGTGAACGAGAACACCAGTATGGTCAACCGATTGCACTTGAATACAAAATAACGGAATCACTTAGTAAAATCTGAGAACTATATAGGACTCAGGAGCTAAGTTGAAAACGCGATAACGTTTGAAGAAAACGGTACTGGGTTTGAGTCCCACAGTAAACATCAATTCTGAGATGCAGGTACATTCATCTGACGAATCTCAAATAGAACGAAACGCACGTAAAACTGGATTCCACTGCTAGCCACTATCCATCTCTGCTTATAATGTTTGTGACATAGGGCAATATTGGGGCAGTTCACACAGGATACACATATGCCAATAACAGACTGATCAATTGCAGTGCTAAACCTCAATGGAAAGATTCGAGCTAAACAATACAAAGTGAATTTATAAAGTAATTAGTTCATTTACAAAATGTCAATCAATTATCTCAAAATTGACTGTTCCTTCGTTTTCATATCAATCATTCTATGTTTTCATCTTTTTTTCATTTTGATCTTTACTTTCTGCCGCCAAATATTTCACTTTTGATTAATGTTATATACTGTTTATATAAGTCGATATCAGTAGCACACAGCATAGTTTCAGTTACTAGATCATCTTGTCCCACTAGGAATTATTATTATTATTATTATCGATTATAGTTATAATTAAGTATAAATTCAGCTTATATGTTTATTGACTCTTGAGCTTGGCTTTTTTCGTTTCGGATGGGTTTTGTGGAGATTGTAGTAATTTCAGCGGTTAAGATCATGAGTCAGTTGGAGCTAGACCACCATGGAAAACCCATCTGATATTAATCAACATATGCTCATTAGTGACTGGCTTCACGAGGTACATCCTGGAGTTCTAGTGAGAAGCAGTGACCAGTGGAGTTCGACCAGGTCTGTTGTGAGACAGTAACTCACTGAAGACAATGGTAAATGTGTCATTCAATTTCGTGGATTAGTTGAAGTTAGACACTAACACCGTTGGATGCCGACTCAGTGGTCAGTGGTTAAGTGCTCGCGCGCGAAACCAGTAGGTCCTGGGTTCGAATCTCGCGGGGGGCGAGGTCGTGGATGCGCACTACTGAGGAGTCCCACAATATGACGAAACGGCCGTCCAGTGTTTCCAGGTTTTCCATGGTGGTCTAGAATCAAATGACTCATGATCTTAACCATTTTTTCGTATTCGTTTAACTATCAGATCACTGTACATACAGGCTTTCCAGTATATTTACCCCTGTGATGTGAGCTACTTATATCCACATAAGTAGTATATAATGATGGTCAGTGACGGAATGTATTTCAGTAGAAGATCGAGAAGGAAAGAACAGGAACAGAAGGCAGTTGGTATAAAACTGTATGAACAATGAAATCTGAGACAATAGACTGATATCTGCAGAAGAAACAGTCAAGTTTGAGACATTTGATTGATATTTTGCAAATTAACTATTTAATGTATGGTTCAGTGAGATACTCTGTAATGTAGCACCAAGTACATTCGATTGAGCCCACTCGAGTTCCTGCTTAATACGTTTAGTGTCGCTGACAACCGGGAGGAGGAGGGGCGCTGTCCTGCGGACGCCGTTGTGGGCCTGGAGCTGAGGTGCTAGTAGGGGCAGTCTGGTGCGAAGAGGTGACGTCGAGTAGTCTTCCAGCTTGGTAGCGTTGGCTCTGGAGGGTGCTGTAGACGTAGAGGAGCGGTGGGACGTGAGGATGCTGGAAGGACATCAGATGCAGATGACTCAGTAGGCCGCTGGAGTGCAGGTATTGAGATGTTCTGTAGTTTTGTGCTCAAATACATCCGATTATTCCCACTCGTGTTCTTGTTCACTACATCCATACCACATCATATACTTTCAGGTTAGATACAAGTGTACCAAACGCTGAATGTCATAATACTAAATAGCGTTTGTTTAAGTAAGAAAGAAAAATCACTAGATCATCCATTTAAATTAATTTTATAAAAATATGATTAAGCTTGTGAGTTAAGGTTCTAGTTTGTCCATAGTAACTAAACGAGTGAGTTCTTCTTGACTAGGAAAGTACCAATAATTTCCTGTAACACAGTGACTAAAACGCATTACATCATCTATTTCTCTATCTTCAGTATCACCAGTCATACGATCTAGCATAAAATTGAAATTTTTTATTTCAGCTGCATATGCAAGGAATAATAGTCCAGCTTCACTAGATAATGTACCATATGGTTGAGATTGTCGAACGATACGAAATTTTGGCCATTTACCTCTTTCTGCAGCTTTTAATAGAAGAAGAAAAAAAGATAAAAATAAACATTGATATTTGTGTCGAAAAAAGAAGTCAACTCAAAGCTACGATTTGGACATCTAGGATGCAATTGGACGAACTAGAGTCCTCAAGTGATATGGCTATTCTATTGCACACGCAACAATAAATGCAGCCAAAGACGATCAGTGTAGCAGCAGCCTCAGCAGCAATGGGTCTCAACGTACACAAACAGAAAAGTAAGATTCTCCGATACAACATAACAAAACGCAAACCCATCAAATCATACTTGATGGAGAAGCTTTGGAAGATGTAAAATCCTTTAAATATCTAGGCAGTATCGTTGATGAACACAGTGGATCTAATTCAGATATGAAGGTGGGGATCGGTAAAGCGATAGAGGCATATTTACAACTGAAGAACATCTGAAACTCTAAACAACTGAAAACCAACACCACAGTCGACATTTTCAATACAAATGTCGAGGAAGTTCTATTATATAGGGCAGAAACTTAAAGAGCGACGAAAGCCATCATCCAGAAAATACAAATGTTTATTCACAATTGTCTATTCAAAATACTTTGGATCCGTTGATCAGACATTATCAGTTCATAACATACTAATTTCTGCAAGTATAGAAACAAACTGATGAGTAGTAACTAGTTTCATGTTGTTCAATTCTTAATACTTATCGAATTCTAATAATCGAAATGTTTCGGAAATGGGTAACAAAAAACTTTCTGTTGAGTTGGCAGTCATCTCTCACATTTTTCTTATGGGTCTGAAAAAGCTATCTTCCACGCTGCCAAATCTTTGACAACGTTACGAATCCCCAAGGACAAGGAAGACAACAAGAATAATGGGACGCCGCCGCAAATTAGTTGTCAAGCTACTAGTGGATCCTAGGAAGAGATCTTATTCTGGGGAGGTGTTGAGTCGGCTTCCAAAAACTACAACGGAGCCTTCAGAGGCTCTAAAGGGGTCGAAGAGTTCCAGCCAATCAGAGCATGATGGAGCTTTCTAAAATGTCAACGTGGCATGCTACTATATGTCAGTAGCATAACATGTCTCTTAGAGGATTGGCCAAAATATAATGTTGATTTAACAAATGCTAATATCTATAAATACCCGTGTTTTTCTGTACAAAAACGAACCTTTGGAGTAAAGTGATTCTCGCATATTTTCTCTCGTGTTCAGGTGGCTGTGTAGTTATAGCTTCAGGGTTACCAGAATAGCTTAGGAACTGAATAAAGCGTTCAGTTAGCAAGACTTATCAGTGAAGTTTGTATTCTAGAAAGCTCCATCATGCTCTGATTGGCTGGAACTCTTTGGCTCCTTTAAGGCCACTGAAGGCTCCGTTGTAGTTCTCGAAATCCGACTCAACAATTTCAATTCAAATCTTATGGTAACTGTAACCAATCATTTAGGTGTATCTCAAATCTTGAAAGTATTGATACTACGGTTTAGAGAGTGCTTGTTCATTTTTTTTACCAAATAAATCTTCAAACAAATGGAATAGTTTTCAGTAAGGTTGGATGATAGATAACAGTGAAATCTAGTCTAATATGAAACTTATCAGTAGTATGTACTTTCATTCTTGTCTAATTCAAACCTTCACCACTACTGTATACATTTAATAGTCATTTATGACAATGAGTATAAATTCTCTTCTATTGTATAACATACAAATAAATGAGCATTGTTGAAGAGTCTCACACTAGGATGAAACAACTTTCCAATGCTTTCAAGTTTTTCTATATTGGTCTAGCATAATTGACTCATGAATTCAACCATTAGAATTACCACGATCTCTACAAAATCCTCTTACGGATTAAAATACAAATAAGTTAATTAATGAGACAATAAGTTATGGACAACTTTTGAGCGACGTTCGACTGACTTTCATAGTGTTCACTTAATAACTAGGACCAATTGTGGGTTATAAACCAATATAAGGGATCAGAATTATGATTTACAGTCAATAGTTAGGGATAGGAATTAGATTTAGGATTTTCATCACGAACTGACATCAGCTATAGTACCAAAACTCTACTTATCCAAATGAATGAATGAATTTCGCGCTAAAATCCTAGACCTTTTATCTTATACCTGATTGTTTCGTCCCATAAATTATGATCTCGTTAATTAATTATTTCAAAAGTTGAAATCATGAGTCAATTGAAGCTAGACCACAACCTGGAAGCACTGGACTGCCGTTTCGTCTTAGTATGGGACTCCTCAGCAGTGCGAACCCACGATCCCGTCCCTTGCGAGTTTCGAACACAGGACCTATCAGTCTCGCGCGCGAGACTTGAATGTGTGTCAATTTACTGTCGGTTACTTATTTACTCTGAAGAAGTGGCCTTAATTAAGTTACAAAACGTCAGGAATACAATTCTCTCATTCATTTAGGATATAACAAAAAGTATGTTCAGTATTATCTAGTAAACAGTTTAGAAACTCATTCAAATTTCTTTTGTTTCATTAAATACTTGTTACATAATCCTACACATTTCTATGTATCTATGATGGCTATTACTTTGATAGAACAAAAGGAACGACTACATCCGATAATTCCATTTATAAGACGTTGAATTTCATGACTTTTTGTTCACATCAAACATTCAAGCGGCTGATAAACACTTAAGTTATAGTGTTCTCAAGTTTTCTGTAATATTAGTGAACTAGGACACCAGTATGGACAACCAAATACTCGCGAGACTGATAGGTACTGGGTTCGAATCTCGCGAAGGGGGCAGGATCGTGGATGCGCACTGCCACGGAGAAGTCTCATACTAGGACGAAACGGCCATCCAGTGCTTTCAGGTTTTCCATAGTGGTCTAGATTCAATTTGTTCATGATTTCAACTATTGAACTTTCAAAAAAAGATCTTCACAAAACCCTTTCTGATAATTGATTATTTCATAAGAAATACAATAAAATTTATTCAATTTGAAAAAAGTAATAATAATGATATTGCTTACATCCAATCATTCTAGCAATATGTGATGTAATAGATTTATCATGTAATGCAAAACTATGTTCAATTGTTCGACCAATCCATTTTTCTTTTATATTATCTATAAATAAATAAGATTTCATAATGTTAGATATATTCTGAATAGAATTTCAATAGATATCAATTAATGTGACCAGTAGAGTTAATCGATGTCGAGTAGAGATAGACATCTATCTCAGTATAATGGAAGATGGTTGCACAATTTCATGGATTAGTTGAAGTTAGACATTAACATCGTTGGATACTGACTCAATAATCTAGAGGTTAAGCATTCGCATACAAGACCAAAGAACCTGGCTTCAAATCTTGGAAGCGAGATTGTGAATGAGTACTGCTGAGGAGTCCAACTGTAGGAAGAAGCAGCCGTCTAGTGCTTCGAGATTTTCAATGGTGGTCGAACATCATTCAGTTCATGATATCAATCAAAAATATTCAACTAGTGATTTCTTTTTAATCTTGACTAATCTACGTCAAGATGAATATTTCTTCTAAAATTATGATTAAATATGGAATTGACAAGTTGATTTAAGCTAGACTACCATTGTAAAGGTGGAGACACTAGACGATCGTTTCATCCTAGCATGGTACTCTTCGACATTGTGGACCCACAATCAAAACTCAAATCCAGGACATTCAGTTTAGTTCACAAACGTTTAACCTCTAGACAACTAAGATAGAACTCAACTGTCCTAGTATTAACCTTCAACTAATTCATGTTACTGCACGACTATCTTTCATTGTTTTCGATGAGTAACCGCTTCACATTCAACGCAGATTTGACTCCATTAGTCATAGCTTCTCACAAGTACACCAGGAGTTCCGCCTTAAAGTTAATCACAAATGAGCACATAATGATTATCAGTATGGAGATTTATTTATTAAATGCTAGAACGCTAAAGATTCATATTATTGTTTCATTATTGTCAATATATATCATGCATATTATTCATTATTAGATCAATAGTAAGAAAAAAGATATATCATGTTTTGTTCATATACCAAGATGCACTTTAAAAGTAGTGCAATTATATCATTATTAACAAGTAATATCAATCTATAAACATCTATGACTTTGTCGTAAATAAACAACTTAGTACAAGGGAAAGTTATAATGGACAAAAAATGCACTGTTTTGGCTCAACAATAATAATACTGATCATAATGATGGTATGTCTAGCAGTTACTAAGTTTAAAACAGACATCTGAACATATCTGTGTGTAATTATGTAACAAAAAAGATCAATCAGATTCGAAATCAACGTATTATTCAATTAAAATAATGGATGGGGAGATTGATTATGAATATAGTGATCTTGAATGCTGTTAGAGGTATAAAGACAGTTATCATTTCCCCGTTGTCTACACCGTGGAAGGGTACTTATGGAGCTACATGAAAAAATTGGGTTAGAAGTGAGACGACTGCTTGAGGTCGGTCACACACGCCCTTTTTGTGAGTAATTTTCGTGTTAGCTCCCTATTTATTGGAACCATTACCGCTAGGGACGGAAACCTGTAGGATAAGGTGAGATGTGCGTTTTTTGAGTCGACCTTTTCCGACCCCTTCCCTCCTTGTGGGAAGGCAGCATCGCTGTCATGCTGGTTGTCTGAAGGAAACACCTTACTGCTGTCACTCTTATGTACAGCCATTAGTAAGATTTCGCCTTCGGACCTTGGGTTTGCTGCTATTAGTCTTATCACTCTTCAGCCGACCTGTCTGAAATGGTAAAACCTTGATGAACGATTGTTCCAGCGAGTATATCTCAATCGATTAATCATGACAGGCAAGCCCGGCCACCACATCAAGATAGAATAAACTGTCGGAATAACGGAGAAGTACTGACTTTATTATCAATAGCTAACTACAGCATAAATTCTACATTCAGTGTGACTAAAGTGAAATTAAGTTCGACTGAATTTCTTGTCTCATATCTTAATTGGTATATAACTAGTTAAGTTTCTTAAACGACACCACATAGTCAGCTACTCACAATTCTATTCATTCGAATATTTATTTTCACGAGAGAATTTCCTAACTGAATACACACAGGACAATTTATTATTTATTTGCTTATTACCTGGTGTTGATCGAAGCAAATCCATATCATGAATCCATTTTTGAACAAGACCATAACTTCCGCCTGTATATGTGTTGATTGCTACCTCTGCCCGTTCATCTGGATCTCTCGGATTCATTGTTCCTTGATGCACAGGAGAATACATATTATAAGTATATGCATATGTTATTCATACAAATTAGTTATTAGAAGTCCTTCTAATATAATATCTGTTATATTAAACTACTTTATATCATCCGTATATGTTGAAATGTCAAATTCAATTATATCCATATGAATGATTTGTCTTGGTCAAATGAATAGCTTAAATGATTAATTACAACTTACTAATATAAATAAACGAAATTATAATCAGATGAAAAACGTGGAAAAATTCATTCATAAACCTAACAGTATTACAATTGACTTGATCAACGTTTGTGAATATATGAACTTTTCTTGAAACAAAAGCCATCTATCTTCTTATCTTTACGTCACATATTAAGCACAAGGAATAGATTATTCAATTTAATAAGCAGTAATTTCTCTTGCAGTAAGATTTCGCTTGGTTTAGAATTTCGCGTAGAATATCGCTTAAAACTAAATGAAACCTGTATTTATGAGTGGGGAGGGGCTTAATCCTAGTTTTCAACGACCATTTAAATTTTTAAGGGTATTAAATCAAGATGGAAAATAATGTGATGATGTCATAAATCTTCGACAGCTGAAATGACTTATATGCATATTATGTACAACAAACAACGTTCTAAAACGATAGGTTATTCCATTCTTGAAGGAGTAGGTTGGGAAAAAGTTGATGGCATAAAAGCAAACACATAGCATCAATTTGTGAAGGTACTAACTGTTATTATAAGCCATGTCAGATGATTTAGACTACATGAACAGGATATACACAGTTTTTATAGTCAATGATGTCAAAGGCTAGGTGATATAGCTCAGAATTGGCAGCGATGAAACAGACGCGCTGACCGTTTTTTCTTTCAATCTTGAGTTTTAAAGTTACTTGATGTTTCCCATTCCGTGAATTCATTTTTCTTTAATAAATCATATTTTCTGTGGTTAATTTTTTTTACCATTGGTAATTTTACTATGTCTACTACGATTATATTCGTCTTGCTGACTTCATCTGATCTCTCGGATATAGTGTGGAAACATGAATCTATACACACATACACTATGTTTTACATCACTTATGAGTCGCAGACCAATGTAACAACGAAGATAGTTTATCTAAGAAACAACTTACCATCAATAAAACCACTCAAATCACGCCCATTACGATAAACCCATCCGTAAATATCCTCGAATCTGTCTACAGATCTGGGTGGAAAATTATTAATGATGGCTTGTGTCAGTTCAAACAACTTGCCATATTTATTACACTTAGCATGAATAAATATATCTCCGCCTATTAAATAAATAAAACATTTTTGAGGAAAAATACTTAAAAGTATTGAATCACTTCAAGACTTTTCGCGAAAAGTATAAATTATCCAAAGACAAAACTGAGGACCTGGAGAATATATTATCGACATTTTTGTCAGTTCTACTGTTTTTAAACGTCCCGCTTGGCAACTATACGAGGGATATAGTTAGCATTTTCTCCGTGTTTACTTTAAAGGTAATTCTACTAAGACAAATTATTAGAGCAATTTATATGTTCAGTTATTACTAAATCTAGTATAAGCCAATTTAATAACATTTCTTTTAAACAATCTACAAGAAGTGAGCATCTTAAACTATGAATGATTTTCTATGGGTGCGCTAATAAACTAGCTCCGTCTAGAGCTCGAAAGCAAGACTTGGAAGTCTGGTTGCCAACGCCTTGTAAGAACGGTTCGTTTGTGTTTCCCTTCTTATTGAAAAACATCTTTTTAATGACATGCTACTGACAAAATAACGACAAAATATGAAGGTAATTACCAAGACCCATTTTTAATGAACTTGGTTAAAAAGGTTAGTGGAAATACTCAATGAATAGTTATTGTAACACCAAAACAATCAAACATGAACTTGCCCGTCTTAGGAAGTCTACCCATAGCCCCTGAACGTTCATGATATTGAAAGGGTTCAACTTTCTTGTGTTCAAAATCAGGGCTGATTTTTCGAAAGAAATCAAATCCGAAACCGACACCATATAAAATTTCATCTTCACGACACAAATGTCTTGGACAAATTGAATTAACATATCTCTAAAAAGAACATTCAAAAAAATCAGAATAATGTATTCAGCACGTATGGCTCATTTCTCATATTCATACAAATGAGTTTATGTTGTGTACAGATGTTAAATTCTGTTGATCTAATAATACATTTTCTTCCCATTCACTAATACAGATGCGTGAGAATGAGGCCGAGTATAACCAGAATGCAAATATTAAAAGCATGTCACGCAATAAAATACCTCAATATGTCCAATAGACTCCAAACATTCTTGTGGAGAAGCAATAGGGCTCAAGTGGATAGTCAAAAATAAAGAATGTTCTTTAGTTTCACTTATGACCTACAGTAAATCGTTGACAACTTGTTACAACTTACTGATCCCTGAGGAGTCCCATTAACAGCATAAGCATCAGCAAACAATATGTTTTCATACGACATTTTGTATTTTGAATATACAATATAAGCAGTAAACAAAACTCCTAATTGCAAAATGCATCCAAGAACGACCGGTTCTGATGCGAATCCGAAGAACCCTTCAAAAGTTGAAAAACGATATGTGGCAGCAAACGTACATCTAGGAAAATATTTTTGACTCCTCATTACCTTGAGATTTAAATTAGTTCAATGAACTCTACTCTTATATTCACCATGTTAAACAATTTTATTTCATTGCAACAAGCCTGCATAAATCGATTGATTCCTTTCCTTTCACTGCATACCTTTTTATGCATTTGGGTTTTTGGTAACATGCTCTACTAGTTTTAGTCAGAATAAGGGCTTTTACTGTGTTGGTATGTATTGTGATTTGACTGAGTTTATCTCAAAACGGTAGGAATCCGTGGTATCCGGAGATACCACATAATCTGAGAACAGAGTAGAAGTTTCAATGTCGGAAACCACAAAAAGAAAATTGGAACCTAAATAGACCATTGCTTCAAGGAATTAATGGATCAGTTTAATTCACATGTTATTGTTTAATTAAATCTTCCCATTGATGTTTAGGACTGCTGGTGATCATTCTTTCATTGGCATATATGCATACCGCGCGTATGCCGCGATATTGCCTTGGTTCACAGGCATTACAAGCAGAGATGGATAATGGCTAGCAGTGGAATTCTGGACGCGTGTTTCATCCTATTTGGGACTCGTCAACATCTCACTCTGGGACTGAAAACCAGTACCGTACTCTTCAAACTCCTGTAGTGACCTACTTTTATCAACGGAATGCGATGAGCGTAATGGAAACAATTATTATTATAATCAATTGTGCCAGGAATTATTTTACCGTGCTTGTTTGTTTGACTGTATTACAAACACACATTCTTCCGTTGCTTGTTACCTTGCACGAACTTATATTCGCACGATATTGGTATTCTTTCGATACCACGAGATTGTAGAACTATGGTCTAATATGATATTAGTGCTGCTCTAATAATAGACCTAATCCTAAGTTTGTAGATTTGTCATGATATAACTGCCTAATCTATAAGATCTTACGTGGAAGGCACACCATCGACTACGCCAACTCACTGTATCGTATCAATTACCAATACATGATGTAGAACAAGGTTAGGCTAGAGAAAGAACAATATATTTAATATGAATAGGAGATATAAGATAACATTCAGCAGGGACCACGCCTGCATGGCCGAGCCATGCCGTTTGATCAACTCTAATTCCCCCAATTCATTGTTCGTGCCTTCTCCATTCTTAGGTATTTCTCGGCGTTAAATATTGAATATCTATTTTCTGAGTAGTCTCGTGTTCACAGCTTTTTGGATTGTGTGGCTATTGTCCAATGCCACTACACTACTCTCCCACCTGCATCAACGTGATGTTGGTTCGATACCAAATTGGATGGGATCGTTGCGCGCCGGAGGTTACCAAGGATAATAAGAATCCTCCGGGTATTGGTAAGCTGAAAGATAAATCAAAAAGAAAGCGGCAGCATCTGGTCGGGAAATACATGTAATAATTTTAAAATATTTGCCTTCATGCTTAAAACGCTTGAAATGAAAATTTGGGTGAAGATTATTTGAACTATAAAAGATGGGATTACAATGATAATAATAAAACGATGAGTGTTAATAGCCGTTGGTTAATAATTTAACGTATAGGTAGTATTTTGTGTTTAGAAATATTAAAGTAATGAATTGTAGAAATGGTAATATCGGTATTAGTTTTGGTTTAAATTATGAAATCAATTTACAATTATGCCAGTATGTTGTCCATATGAGTTGATTTCCAATTGCATATGTATTAGTAGGCTAACTGAATGAACAAAAATATTACCGCGGAGAATTCCAACTAGTGTTCCAGTTAGTTTGATACGCTTTATTTAGTTACGGGGAGATTCTCTCAACCTCATTTTTACTTGACCGTGATAGAATTTAGTAATACTACTAATACACATGAATGTTTATCAAAACAATTTGAATACGTGAGTGATGATTATATGAATTTTGGACAGATAGCGAGGAACAAATCGTTAAACATAAGTGTATTCGTAAGAGACATGCTCTAGACTCAATGTTCTGATCTGCGGCAGACTATTTATTTATATTTATACTTGCCGGCTGATTGGCCATACAAGTTAGTTGCAAGTGTGCAGTTTATCATAAGACGGAATACGATTTAATTGAGATATAGTGGTTATAAGTTATTGAAATCAGTTAAGCCTATGTGTCATATTACTAAGTGATGTGGTGCTGCAAGATGTATTTTTACAAGATGATTAATAGTAAGTGATGCTTATGTGATTATCAGGGAGAACATAAGTTGTAACCAAGGGGAGTACACTCCCAACTCATGTCTATGATAATGTTGTAGCGTGGCGTCGAGTTGAGATTAACTATGAACACCGCTACCAGGAAACAGGTGCCAGATAAATCAGAAGGCGAGGGTTGGACGTAACCAAATAGATCCATAAAATCCCCGAGAAGCCAAATATCAGAAGACAGTTAATGGACCAAGTCGAGGTTTATTAGCTGGCGATCTCGTGGCATCGAAAGGATACCGAGATCGTGCCAGGATACAACCTTGGTTACAGAACGTAACCGAATTCGCGCGAAGTTACAATCGAAGTGTAAGTGAAGGAATGGAAGCACAAAATAGCTGTCATTAGCACAGTCAAACAAAAGCACGTTAAAACAAACACTGGTACAGTTGGTTATAATAATAATTGTTTTTATTAAACCAGTCGTGTTCTCGTGATAAACGTGAGTCACTACAGGAGCCCCCCGCTAGAAAGGGTTTACACTTTCGATAAATAGCGGTTTGAATCGTGGGACTGATCGGCTGACGAGCGATTGTAGGACGGAAGAATTGGCGAACAGGAAGGCGATCGTTGATCGTCGAGTTGCCAACGAAGTTCGTTTTCGGAGAACAGTACCAGGAGCGATGTGTTGTATTTATTGCTCGAGTCGGCATGCTACACCAGAGTGGTTTGTATCCAGAATCTGAAGAGGGCGTTCGTACGGGTCCGGACCATAAACGCTGCAGACGAAGGACGAAACCACGTTGAGCCGATGAACCAGAAGCGACCATAACGACCATGTTCGAGACCAAGCATATGCCAAGCATTCGAAACCAATATATCGACTGAGTACGTTGACAAGAGCGTGGGTGGCCAATCCAGCTTTCGCCAAAGTTGACTGAAGTCGACGGAACCAAACGTAGATGGTCGAAGGCGTGGGCTCAGGAAACAAAAAGAAAATCAAAAAAAGAGGAGTGTAGCATACGTGTAGTATAGGAATAATCCTACACCGTATCGGTAGTTGACTGTGCGACTATTCGCGAAAGCGTACGGGTAACCGTACTCGGCGACCGGAACGTGAGACGGCAGTCTCGTTCGCGTCGCGTGAGCCTGCAATCTCATCCGAAGTCAAGGGCGGCGTGGTCTGCTGATCTGGACGTGAGACTGTCGTCTCGTCCGTAGACGGTGCAGATGACGCGTGCTGTTGACTGGGACGTGAGAATGAGGTCTCAGATGTATCTAGCGTGGGACCTGAAGATGATTTGAGGATCCCGCTAGTAGGTTTGCTAGGTCTAGCATTGAATCTCAGGTTGTCAGATAGGGCACTGTCATCGACGTGTGCTGGTTTGAGACGGTCAATGCTGACGATCTCGACGCGTCCATATCGATCAACCTTGAAGGTCTTTTCGTGACGAGCGATCACGTGAAAAGGGCCTTCGTAAGGTTGTTGCCAAGGTTGGCGTACCGAATCTACTCGTACAAAAACATGTGAACAGGTAGATAACTCTCGAGGGAGAGCGACCTGTCGATGTTGTATTCGAGTTGACACCGGAGACAGCGTTCGCATAAATGCAGACAGTCGATGGACGTAGTCTGATTTACCGAAATTAGGTCTGCTCCGTGGTGTGAAGAATTCTCCGGGCAGACGCAATGTCGTGCCGTATACAAGTTCAGTGGCGGAACATTGGATATCTGCCTTTAAGCTCGTTCTCGCCCCTAAAAGAACGAGCGGTATGGTTTCGTGCCAGTTGCCGTTTTCGTGTGCTCGTAGAACACTTTTAAGTTAGCAGTGAAACCGTTCAACTTAACCATTTGGTGCTGGGTGGTAGACGGAGATGCTTATGCGTATGCATTCCGTACCAAGCAGCCGGGTCAGCGAGGAGAATCGTTAATAGGGTAACATTTCTCGAATGAAGCGTGGAATTCATCATCACGCGAATAAAAAGTGACAAGGATTCGGTACACATACGTGTGAGTCTATTATATTAATACTATTCTTATCGTTATCCGTCATGTCGCGTATATTATATATTAAAAATATGAAAATATACGACAGACGTGGATAGATAAATCATAGACTCACCGAATTGGCTTCTTTGGAAGATTTGATCAGAAGTTGAATCGTGTTCCAAAATACGGCTCACCAATTGTAGCGTGGCGTCGAGTTGAGATTAACTATGAACACCGCTACCAGGAAACAGGTGCCAGATAAATCAGAAGGCGAGGGTTGGACGTAACCAAATAGATCCATAAAATCCCCGAGAAGCCAAATATCAGAAGACAGTTAATGGACCAAGTCGAGGTTTATTAGCTGGCGATCTCGTGGCATCGAAAGGATACCGAGATCGTGCCAGGATACAACCTTGGTTACAGAACGTAACCGAATTCGCGCAAAGTTACAATCGAAGTGTAAGTGAAGGAATGGAAGCACAAAATAGCTGTCATTAGCACAGTCAAACAAAAGCACGTTAAAACAAACACTGGTACAGTTGGTTATAATAATCATTGTTTTTATTAAACCAGTCGTGTTCTCGTGATAAACGTGAGTCACTACAATGGCTTGAACCTTAGTCAGTGTTGAGGTAAATTCGACATTGATGTTTTCAGTTTGCAGGAGATTTGCTCGACAGCTTATACTGATTATTTGCATGCATGATTGTGTCGCTAAACCATCAATTAGACTGACAAGGTTTCGAGATATTTACTGAGTGAGAAACTGATAGAGAAACATACTGTAATCATCTGTAGTGAATGAAGATAAAAGAAAAACAACACTAGTGATAATTATAAGTCAATTTGCTGACCGATTTTGTTAATAGTTTCATTAATTATATCAATCATATTACGTGATTGTCAAGTAA